AAATGAGGTTATATTTGCAAAGCTCTATACAACCCTTAGAGCACTCTGTCGATGCATCTTATTATTATTAATTATATATTTATCCTATAATCATCATCCATGTATCATATATTATATTACAGATAATTATCACTAATTATTATTGAGAAGCAGTCTGGGTTGGTGGAATGAGTCAGGACAGCTGTCCTTACATCCAGTCTCTGTTACTTACTCCCTCAGTCTGGGGTGCTGAGGGATTAAGTCACACAACCAGCATATATCAGGGACAGGATTTGAACCAGTTTTCCTAATGCCAGGAAATATATCATGCTTCCACTAGTTGACTGGAGATCCAGGAGGGTTAGGACCTTGTCTTATGTCAACTTCATTTCCCCATAAGGGCCAAGTACAAAGTTTTGCATACAGTAAGTGCTTAATAAATGATGTGCAAATTGTAAATTGTCAAGGATAAGGGGAAGGAGATAAAATGAAAAGAAAAAAGAATAGAGAAAAGGGGGGAGGTAAAAGAGGAAAAATATGGAAGAAAAAAAGGAAAAGAGCTGAGTGATCTTGGGCAAGTCATTTCCCCTTTGGGCCTCAGTTTCATCATCTGTAAAATGAGAGGACAGGACTAAGTCTTCTCTACCATCAGTTCAAGCTTCTCTATGAAAAAAAAACCACAGCTGCAGAAAAAGGGAGTCTTCACTCTTTGTAGCTCCCTCCATTATTTATTTATTTGTTTATTTGTTCATTCATTTATTACCATAATAGTCATGTTGTGAAAGAAGACACAGACCCAAAGGGCAAAAAAAGAAATTGAAAAATAGTATGCTTTGATGTGCATTCAAACTCTATCAGTTCTTTCTCTGGAGGTGGATAGCATTTTTCATCATGAGTCCTTTGGAAATGTCTTGGATCATGGTATTGCTGAGAAGAGCTAAGTCATCCACAGCTGATCATTATACAATATTGCTGTTAGTATGTACACTGTTCTCCTGGTTCTGCTCACCTCACTTTGCATCAGCTCATGTAAGTCTTCCCAGGTTTTTCTGAAAGTATCCAGCTCATCATTTCTTATAACACAGTAATATTCCATTACAATCATATACCACAACTTGTTCCGCCATTCCGCAATTGATGGGCATCCTCTCAATTTCCAATTCTTTGCCATCACAAAGAGAGCTGCTATAAATATTTTAGAACATATAGGTTATTTTCCTTTTCTCCTGATCATCTTTGGAAACAGACCTAATAGCAATATTGCTTTGTCGAAGGGTATACACAATTTTATAACTCTTTGGACACAATTCCAGATCGCTCTCCAGAATAGTTGGATCACTTCATGGTTCCTCTTACTCTCAAATATGTCAAGGGACACTTGTGGCCATAGCACCTTAGGCAAGTCACAAGCTCTCTGGACCTCAGTTTCCTCAACTGCAAAATGAGAGGTGGGACTTGATGGCCTGTGAGATTTGTTCCAGCCCTGGGATCTATGATCTGGAGATTTTATGATGTAGGAATTCCTGGTTCAGGAAACTCTTCCACTGATGCAAATCACAATGAACTGGTAACTCATGATGTTATTTAACAACTTCCAGCCACACAGCTAGGAAATGCTAGAGGTAGGATTCGATTGGAACTCAGGTCTTCCTGACCCAATACTCTGCTTCTGGTACTGTGCTAGGCCTCTGGTACAAATCCTGTGTGTGTGTGTGTGTGTGTGTGTGTGTGTGTGTGTGTGTGTGTGTGTGTGTGTGTGTGTGTGTGTTGAGAGAGAGACAGGGAGACAGAAAGCTGGAGAGAGACAGGGAGAGTGACAGAAAGAGACAGAGACACAGAAAAAGACAGGGACAGAGAAAGAGACAGAAAGGGAGATGGGGGGATAAAAAGAGAGAGAGAGACACAGAGAGAGACAGACACAGGCACAGAGACAGAGAAGGGAGAGAGGGGGAGAGGAGAGACAGAGAGAAAGAGAGACAGAAAGAAAGGAAGAGACAGAGAGACAGAAAGAAGAAGAGAGAGACAGAGAAAGGTAGGGGGAGGGAAAACAATACAAATGTGTGTGTGTGTGTGTGTGTGTGTGTGTGTGTGTGTGTGTGTGTGTGTACATGTGATAGATAGGTAGATGTGAATGATAGGTGCTTTGAGATCAAATAAGGAAGGAATCCCTTCCAGACTAGGGGAGTAGGAAAGACTTCATGGAAAACTGAGCATTGCAGCAGGTCCTTGAAGGACAGACAGCAAGGGCACAGGAAGTATTTATTAATGCAAAGGGGAAAATTCTTACCAGTCCAAAGGTGGAATGAGCCCGCTTCTCTTTACCCTCTCCTAGGGGAGACAGGGGGAGATTCTGCCCATTTTTCATATGGAAAAGCAGAGGTCCCCCCAGGGTTGTGGTCCATAATTCAGTTAGAATCCCAAGCTAGCCAGTGACTCTGGGTGCAGGTGCTGCCCTGATCTTGCCCAAGCACTGCCTGTCCAGCCCAATTCCTCCCTCCCCCCAGCACCATTCCGAGGGGCCTCCAGGGCCGTGGGAAGGTGGGGGAGGGGACAGCATGGCTTCTGTCTGCTTGGCTTGCACTCCAGAGCTGGCTCCAGCCACCCTCTGCCTTGGATGTGAAACCTAATCAGGCCTCACTGCCCTGGACAAACCCAGCAGCTGCTCTCTCATCTGGCTTGAAAGCTTATCCTGCCCCCCCCCACTTTCCACAAGGGAGAGTAAAACAAATACTGGGGATCAGTGAGGAACCCTAAACCTAGGGCCCTGTGGGCAGATGGGGGGCATAGGGCGGGAAGGGAAGAAAGTTGAGGACCAGTCCCTCATGCCTTCCATCACAGAATATGAGCATGAAGACGATGCCTTTGGGCCCCCTGACTAGCTGTGTGACATGGAGCAAGTCACCTAACTTAGCCTCAGTTTTTCATCTGTAAAATGAACGAGGTCAGACTGGACATCCAGTCTCAAGCTAGGATGCTACTCCATAGGCTACAACCCCTTGCCTCCAGGCAGGATTTTGTGGGTGTGGTTAGTGCCAGACAGGTAGCTGACACACAGGGGAAGGTTTCCCCCACATGCTAGAGCAGAGAGAGCACAGGGCTTAAAGTCATCAGACTTTGGGTCTAGTATTGGCTCAGTCACTTACTAGCTGTGTGACAAAAGGCCCTCAGAGGGAAGAAAGGGATGAGAGGGAATTTAGATCATTCTGAAAGTCCCTTCCCGCTCAGACACATTGTTCTGAGATTCCTTCCACATTTGGCAAAGGGGCATAGGTTTATAGATTTGGAAATGGAAGGAATCCTAAGGGGTAATAGATCCATTCTGTGTTCTAAGATCCGTCCCAGCCTGACATTTTGAATTCTAAGGCCCCTCCCAGTTCTGACATCCTGTGTTCTAAGGCCCCTCCCAGCTCTGACATCCCGTGTTCTAAGGGCCCTCCCAGCTCTGACATCTTGTGTTCTAAGGGCCCTCCCAGCTCTGACATTCTAAGATTATGACTTTGACTTTGCTTCTTGGCCTTTTCCTTGTCATCATGCTACTTCTCTCTCTACTTCTCTGCCAATGCTTCTTCCTGACCCACTTATTCACAAGAGATCCTGGTAATTTTTTTTCATTGATATAGGTGGGTCACCTTGAACCCACCAGTCCTCTTCAGGAGCCACCACAATAGGGGCAAAGCATATCCCCAAGTGCAGTGTTCTTGCTATGATGCAGAATGAGAGGGGAGGGGAGGGAAGCTCCCCAACATGGGTCTTGGAGTTATTGATCTGAAGTCTGAAGCACTGGATTCGAGGGCTGGCTCTGCTCCTGGCTAGCTGGGGGGCCTCTCTATGCTTCAGATTCCTCCTCTTTAAACTGGGGGTGATGATATTGCCACCATCTCATTCACAAGATTGGATGTGAAATCAGGGTACCTGAGTTCAAACCTTGCTTCTGCTATTTGAGTAAATGTGTGATGACAGGCAGATTACTTCTCCTCCTGGAGGCTCAGTTTTCTTATCTATAAAACGAGAAAAGGGTGAAATTATCTTTAAGGACTCTTCCATATCCAAATTCTATGGTCCTAGAAATAAAATAATAGATGTAAAGCACTTTAGAGCTAGTCATTCATAACTTGGCTCTGGCCTGCCTTTCCAGGCTTAGAACACATCACCCCCCTTCATGCACTCTTAAGTCCAGTCAGACTGGCTGTCTTAGCCCTCAATCAACCAGCAAGTCCAGCTGAAGCGTTAAGGAGCTTCCAGGCACTGATGGATCGATCGACTGATCGATTGTCCTTGCTCTTCCTCACACATGATCCCAGCACCACTGGTGATCCCTCATGCCTCTCTCTCTCTCCTCTCATTCTTCTCTCTCCCTCTCTCCTTCTTTTCTCTCTCCCTTTCTCTCTTCTCATTCTCTCATCTCCCTCTCCCTTTCTCTCTCTTTCCCCCTTTCTCTGTCTCTTTTTCTCTCTCTGTTTCTCTTTGTCTTTCTGTGTGTCTCTCTGTCTCTGTCTCTGTCTCTGTCTGTCTCTCTCTCTCTCTCTCTCTCTCTCTCCTCCCTTCTGATACTCCATCTTCAAAGTTCATTTCAAATGCTACTTCCTTCCTGATGCCTTTCCTGCTTGCTCCAGATTCGAGTGCCATCTGGCCAAAGTTACCTTGCCTGTATAAAGAAGATTTTATGTATATCTGTCTGTGTGAGCACCGTCTCACTTGATTCCTGTCTGTTTCCACATTCCCAGTGCCTGGCATACAGTGAGGACTTAATAAATGCTTGCTGAATTGGCTGATTGATTGATGGCCACAAAGGACAGTGTGAATGTGAGGGAGAGTCACACAGTTCTGGGATGGCCGGCCAGGAAAGTTAGATGCTTTGCTTTGGTTACCAGCTGATGTTGGTATCTGGGATACTGATAGCTGGTGTCTGGGATACCGAGAAAGCACCCCTGGCTGGGGAGGTGGATGTGGGGTAGGGTTCACTAATGCTCACATCTCACCCTCCATCCCACTCACTCCTCTGTCCCTTCTCTCCCTCCCAGGTATGGTTCAGTAACCGCAGGGCTAGGTGGCGTAAGCAGGCAGGCGCCAATCAGCTTGCAGCATTCAACCACCTCCTCCCGGGAGGCTTCCCACCTACAGGAATGCCCACGATCCCACCATATCAACTGCCGGACTCCACCTACCCCAGTACTACCATTTCCCAAGGTGAGTCGGGGCCCAGGAGTTGACAAGTACTCCCTTCCCCGATTCTTCCTCTGGCCTTTCTCCCGTGCTCCCCTCCCCGCTCCCTCAGATCCCCCAGGAAACGGCACCTGCTGCGGCCGATCTTGTCCCGGAACCATGACGTCAGACAGCAGCTGTGGCCACACAGGGCCAAATCACCCTGAGGAAGAAGTGCTAAAGGCCTGGCCCAGCCTCCAGATGTTTCTAGGGTATCTAGCTTTTTGGCAGAAAGCAGACCAACCTTCTGGGGAACTGACGGAAACATTTCTCATCTGGGAATTTGGCATTGTGGATAGACGCAGCTTGGGCCCGTCCTGGAGGAGGGGGGCAGGAATGGGAAGGCTGGGACAGTTTGTCTGCACCACTCAGTCTCCCACATCTATAGCAGGTGCAAGAAAAAGGCTTGTGGCTTACGAAATCCAGTGGGGTTGGGATATCTAAGACGGTCTCATTCACCCAGTGGCTTTGGATTCACGAGAATTTGTTTGGCCTGCGTGGGGAAAAGGGGTTCCCTTTCCATAGCTGGGGCTCTACTGCTTTGGAGTTAGAAGGCCAGGGTTCAAATCTCAGCTCTGTTGTGCCCTCTGTTACCTTGGATAACTTATTGACCCTCAGTGGGCTTTGATTTTCTTCATTATGAAGTAGTTGAAGTAGATTATCTTTAAGAAACCTTCCTCCTTTAAAATCCTGTGTTCTTTGGTCACCTCCCACTCTGACCTTCTATATTCTAAGGCCCCTCCCAGCTCTGACCTTCTGCGTTCTAAGTGCCCTCTCAGTGATGAGGTCCCTTCAAACTCCAACATTCTTTGTTCTAACATTCTATTTTCTGACAATCTCTATTCTAAGATCCCTCCCAGCTCTAGCATTCTACGTTCCAAGGCCTCTTCTACCCCTCAAATTCTTTGATCCTATAATTCTAAGGCATCTTCTTGGTCTCTTGGCAGATGGGGGAAGCACAGTGCACCGGCCTCAGCCCCTCCCTCCATCCACCATGCACCAGGGGGGCCTGGCTGCAGCTGCCGCAGCCGCTGACAGCAGCTCTGCTTATGGGGCCCGCCACAGCTTCTCCAGCTACTCAGACAGCTTCATGAACCCGGCAGCCCCCACCAACCACATGAATGCCGTCAGCAGTGGGCTATCTCCCCAGGTATGTATCTATACATCACTCCCACGTTGTGATCCATTCAGAAAGGAATACATCACACTTGGACAACACAGATGGTCAGAGGAACCTCTTAATGATACAGGGATGCTATTGACTGGTGAAAACAACTAGCTGGGTGACTCTGGGCAAGTCACTTAACCTCTGTTTGCCTCAGTTTCCCTCTCTGTAAATGAGGATAATAATAGGATAAATAAAATGAGGATAATAAAACCTCCCAAGGTTGTTGTGAGGATCAAATGAGATAATATTTGTGAAAGCACTTATTCTCTTACCTCCCTATTCAACAATCTTATGGGGGGTGGTGTAAGATGGGCAGGCTGTCCCCAGAAGCTTAAGGCCCTTGTGCAGTTTCAATCTGAGCTTCAGGAAATGAAGACAGTGTGTCCCTACCCCTGTAGACTTCAATGCTACCCTGACCTTCACAAGGAGTTATATCTGATTGTATTGTTGACAACTATCTCCTGGTCTCCCTTTAGTTTCTCTTGCTCACAGGAAGAGAGAGTTTCCATAATAGATGGTGCTTCCTGTCAGTCAGGTGCCAACCAGCAAACATTTATTGAATGAATTGAATCTAGGCCTTATCAGGAGCCAAAGGGCAGACCCTACCCCATGGACATTTTCCTCTTGCCCAACCTGTTCACACAGCCCTTATCAAAGGGCCATTTCATTTCGTCCAGCTCTACTTGACCTCCTAAATAGTCAGCCAATGAAAAGAAGACCTAGTGAGGGCATTTCATGGGCTGAAGGAGTGGTCAATATGTTGCTTATAGAATATTGCTTGTGGTTGGGGGTCTAGGACTAGAACCTTCTATACTTATATCCCTTCCCCCGATTCCATAGTGGTGGTCTACCAGTTAGAAATAGGCATGGTGCAGGCTATCCCATTGTCCAAGGGTCCATAAAACTGGAGCTTTGTCCTAACCTTGCCTTTTGGAATGAGACCCCCTTGAGAATGGTGATTAGTTCTCTGAATGAATTGGGAGGGGGGGAGAAGGGGGCGGAGAACTACAAGAGACCTTGGAATCTGCTCCTGGAGGATGACCTGTCCTAGCCACAGGTTGGGACTGCTTTCAATGGTAGAAGTGAGAGGCTGTTACAGACAGCTTTGAAGGAACTTCCTGATCTATATTGGGTTACCATAGTAATTTCTTGAGTATCTAAGGCAATTTTCCCCATAAATTTTCTTTTATTTATTTTGAACTTTTACAAATATTGATAAACATGAACATTTCTGTTCATAAAGAACAAAAAAAGAGGATTATTTATGAAACCATGAATCTCTATGGCAGCTTGGTTTCAAGTATATATTAAATTTAACCCAGTAGTACCAACAATGCTGCCACTCTGTGTGCCCACCTGAGCTCCTTCCTTTTCTCTTTTCTATGCATTTTGGATAGTTTCATTGATACTTCCTTTTTTGCTCTTTTTTTCCCCCTATCACTACTACCCTACCCTCCTCACCCCCGTGACTCTTCCCTCAACAAATAAAAGCATACCGTGTAACAGTTAAGTATAAGTAAATCCATGTATTAGTTGTGTGTGAAAACGTATGTCAGATTCTACCCCTATAGTCCATCACCTCTCTGCCAGGAGGTGGGTAGCATTCTTTATCATTGGGCCTCTGGAATTGTGGTTGGCCACTGAATTGATCACAGTTCCTAAGTCTTTCAAAGCTGCTTGTCTTTACAATGTTATTATTGCATTCATTGTTCTTCTGGTCTTGCTCACTTCCTTCTGCATCAGTCCATATAAGTCTTACCAGGTTTCTCTGAAGCCATTCCGTTCATCATTTCTCGAAACGCAATAGCATTCCATCATACCTATATATTGTAATTTGTTCATCTATTCTCTAAATGTTGGGTACCTCCTTAGATTCCAATTCCAGGTTATAACAAAAAGTACTATTCTGAATATTTTGTACATATTGCAACAGCTTTTTTAATTCCAGCATGGTTTTTCCCTATCATCCACCATGCTCCCAAGTCTCCTCTCCTTGATATCAACTGATCGGAGGTCAGAAAATATAAACTCATTTCCATATCAGCAAAAGAAAAATGTAAAAGGCAAGGCACTTGCATTCCCTAAAAATGGGATTTCCAAATTCATATTGATTTTTTTAGTTATCTCTAATTTTGTTTTTTAAATTTTTATTATTATTTTTTAATATAAATTTATTTATTTTTAGTTTTCAATATTCACTTACACAAGTTTTTGAGTTCCAAATTTTCACCCCATCTCACCCTCCCCCACCCAAGATGGCATGCATTCTGAATATCCCTTCCCCTAGTCTGTCTCTTCTTCTCTCCCCCCTTCTCTTATCCCTTCCCCTTCTATTTTCCTGTAGGCAGGATAGACTTCTATACCCATTCCTGTATTTCTTATTTCCCAGTAGCATATGATAACATTTTTTTAAACATATGTTTTTAAAACTTTAGGTTTCAAATTTTCTCTCTTCCTCCCTCCCCCCACCCTCATTGAAAAGGCAAACAGCTCAGTATAGGTTATATATGTGCAGTTATGCAAAACACTTCCATAGTAGACATGTTGTGAAAAACTAACTCTATTTCCCTTAATCCTATCCTGCCCTCCCATTTATTCTATTCTTTCTTTTGACCCTGTCCTCCTCAGAAGTATTTCTTCTGATTACCCCTTTCCCAATCTGCCCTCCTCTCTATCATCCCCTGCTCTCTTGTCCCCTTCTCCCCCTATTTTCCTGTAGGGTAAGACAGATTTCCATACCCAATTGAATGTGTATGTTATTCCTCCTTAAGCCAAATCCTATGAGAATAAGATTCACTCATTCCCTCTACCTTCCCCTGTTTCCCCTCCACTGTAAGAGACTTTTCTTTTCTGTTTTTTTTTTGAGATAATTTACCCCATTCTACCTCTCCCTTTCTTCTTCTCCGAGTATATCCTCTCTCATCCCTTAATTTTATTCTCCAGATATGACCCCTTAATCTTCAACTCACCCTGTGCCCTCTATCTATCTATCTATCTATCTATCTATCTATCTATCTAATATAATTTTTTTCCTTCCAACTACCCTAATACTGACAAAGGTCTCATGAGTTATAAATATCATCTTTCCATGAAGGAATGTAAACAGTTCAATCTTAATAAGTCTCTTATGATTTCTCTTTCCTGTTTACCTCTTCATGTTCCACTTGAGTCCTGTATTTGAAAGTCAAATTTTCTATTCAGCTCTGGTCTTTTCATCAGAATGCTTGAAAGTCCTCTATTTCACTGAATGACCATTTTTTCCCCTGAAGGATTATACTCAGTTTTGCTGGGTAGGTGATTCTTGGTTGTAATCCTATCTCCTTTGCCCTCCAATATTATATTCCATGCCCTGCTCCTTTAATGTAGAAGCTGCTAAATCTTGTGTTATCCTGATTGTGTTTCCACAGTACTTGAATTGTTTCCTTCTGGCAGCTTGTAATATTTTCTCCTTGACCTGGGAACTCTGGAATTTGGCTACAATATTCCTAGGAGTTTTCCTTTGGGATCTCTTTCAGGAGGAGATCTGTGGATTCTTTCAATTTCTATTTTGCCCTCTGGTTCTAAATATCAGGGCAGTTTTCCTTGATAATTTCTTGAAAGATGATGTCTAGGCTCTTTTTTTGATCATGGCTTTCAGATAGTCCAATAATTTTTAAATTCTCTCTCCTGGATCTATTTTCTAGGTCAGTTGTTTTTCCAATGAGATATTTCACATTGTTTTCTAATTTTTCATTCTTTTGGATTTGTTTTACAGTGTCTTGATTTCTCATAAAGTCACTAGCTTCCAATTGCTCTATTCTAATTTTTAAGGAAGTATTTTCTTCAGTAAGCTTTTGGACTTCCTTTTCCATTTGGCCAATTTTTCTTTTTAGGGCATTTTTCTCCTTGTTGGCTTTTTGGACCTCTTTTGCCATTTGGGTTAGGCTATTTTTTAAGGTGTTATTTTCTTCAGTATTTTTTTGGGTCTCCTTTAGCAAGCTGTTGACTTGTTTTTCATGATTTTCTTGCATCACTCTCATTTCTCTTCCCAGTTTTTCCTCTACTTCTCTTACTTGCTTCTCAAAATCCCTTTTGAGCTCTTCCAAGGCCTGGGACTGATTCATATTTTTCTTGGAGGCTTTGGATGTAGGAGCTTTGACTTTGTTGTCTTCTTCTGGTTGTATATTTTGATCTTCTTTTTCACCAAAGTAAGACAACATAGTCTGACTCTTTTTGCACTGCTTGCTCATGATACCAGCCAATTACTTGAGTTTTAAACTCTTTGTTAAGGTAAGAGTCTGCTTCCAATGTGGAGAGTGAGTTATCTTTAATTTTGGATAAATCCATCTGCTTCTTCATTAGTACCAATGATTATAATTTTGTAGACTTCAGATTTCCTGATTGTGATATTCTAAACATTCTCAGGAATGTAATTTCCTGACCTTCATCGAGAGCAATGCATCCTTATTCCTATGCTATCCTTTATATGCCCAAATGGCACTTCTAGCATGGCAGCCACAGGGCCTGTGTTTTGATTTTACATCTAGCCAGTAGGGATGCCCAGGCTGCCCCAAGCCAGTCACACCCTCTCACCCCAAGACTCAAGGTTTACATTAGGGGGTATAGCCTGTAGAGCTAAGCTTTTCTGATGAAAGCTAATTGGCCCCAGTGGGGATTGAACCCATGACCTTGGACTCATTAGCCCTGAGGGCTAACCAGCTGAGTTAACCTTTAGAAGTAGGTAGATAGACACAACAGAAACTCCAGTAAGGTTGGGTGAGAACAGGCTGTAGAGACCCAGGAGTTGGAGGGGGTTGGAGAAGACTGGTTCTGCTTCTTACAGGAGACTGTTAGTGGTCTAGACAATGTTTGTTGAAAGAAGTGGGTATGTAGGAGGAATCAATAAGGTATATTTCATCTGAAAGGAATGGGGAGCCCTTGAAATGTAGAATTTCAAAGCTAGGAGAGCCTTAGAATAGAGAATTTCAGAGCTGGAAAGGCCC